GGCCGGCGGGTGCGCGCGGGCCACGCACTGCGGCTCGGCCATGGCTACCAGACGCGGCAGCGCTCGTGCGGGTGCATGTGGGTGCCCTCGGCGCAGTGGAAGGCGTCCGCAAAGGCCCCCAGGTTCTGCAGCGAGCCCAGCACCCTGAGGGCGACCAGGGGGGCCTGACCAGCTTCCCTGGGTGCGCGGGGTGGGGGGAGGGGGGCTGCCCGCGGGGAGGAGGCAGGGGCTACTTGCCTGTACTTCAGGGGGCTGTGGACGTCGGTCTTGATGGACTGGATCGCAAACTCAGGCCGGTAGGACCCGCACCACACCTGTGGGCGCACGAGGGGCGTGGCTGCGGGACTGGGGGAAGGGCGGGCCTGGGACGGAGGGATAAGGGGGGGCCCTGAGGGGATCCAGGCGTGGGTGGCCGGGACAGGCGTGTGGTCTCATTTCTTTCTAGGCACAAGGGAGTCCCCCCTGTCCCAGGCTGCCCCTTCTTGGGTATGGGGAGGGGAGCCCCAGCTCCATCTGAATCCTCCCGGGCTCCAACCCCTTGCCATCCTTTTTCTCTAAGAAGCTTTCCAGGCTGGTAAGTTCTGGTTCTGCCTGGCTTGCCTGCTCACTGCGCCCCTGTCAGCATCCCATAGTGGAGGCCCTTCAACGGGTTCCCAGGTGGCACGGCAGCAGGTGGGGTGGGGACTAGGGCTCCTACCTGGGCGTAGTTGATAAAGAACAGCTGGTCATAGCTCAGTTCCAGTCCTGGCAGCTGCTGGTCCTTGCCCCCTTCTGCCATCCACTTTAGGTAAGCCTGCAAGCGCCAAACAGGTGCTGGGCCCAGGCCTGCGCTCGCTCCCAGGGTCACACCAGCCCACAGGGACTCCAGAGTCCTCGGGTCCAGGAGAATGGAGGTCTGGCTCCATGGCCTACTCCTGGTGGAGGTCCTGCCTCTGCAGCTTAAGGTCCTTTGAGCACCCCCAGGGACGGTCACTCCTACCTGCCTCGCCCAGTGGTCATCTCAGTACTCCACTGTCTGGGCTCAGGCAGACGGCCACGCAGCACCCACCCAGAATGAGCTCCCGAGGCCCAGGGCCTGAGGCTGCAGGTGTAGGGGTGCTGCCGAGGCCGGTGGGTACGTGGTGAATGTCACTGTCTCACTTGGAGATGGGCAGTGGCTTCCCCAGAGGTCGAAGGCTCCGCTAAGGTCGGGGTAAAATGTGGGGAGGTGCCCACCCGCCCACGGCCCACCTGCCCACCCGGGGCCCTGCTGCCTCCCAGTACCCATGGAGGAGGGATCCAGGGTGCGCCTCGGCTTGGGCGGGGCACCGTCTCTGCCTCAACGAGCCGCCCGTCCTTGAGGGGCCCCTGCTCGGACCCACCTTGTATGCCTGCCGCACCCCTCCGTTGTCGGCGATGTTTTCCCCGAGTGTGCTGAAGCCGTTCACCTGCGCACAGGAGCCGGGATGGCAGGGCGGCCCAGGCTGCCCTGCCTCCCCCAGGGGCCAGGGCTGGGGTGCGGGTCCCTGGGGGTGGCGGTACAGCTAATGGCTGGCTCACATTCTGGTTGTCCGCCAGATCCCAGGAGTAGTTCCCGTACTGGTGGATCATGCACTCCGACTGCTTCCGGAAGTGCTGGGCCGAGAAGTTGCTCCACCAATCCAGCATGTTGCCATTCTTGTCGAAGTTCCGGCCTGGGCGGGCACAGGTGGGCTGCCCACATGGCCCTGCCTGCCCAGGGCCAGCCTCACCGCACATCCTTTCAGGAGCCCCAATACCTAGAGCTCGCATGTGAGCGGGGAGCGGGCCCCTGAAGGGCACCGGCCTGCTTGAAGGGTCAGCACAATGTCACTGGGCTGCTCAGGCCTGGGAGAGGGGCTTGGTGGTCTCCCATGCCACCCCCGAGGTCAGGGCCTGGGGTGTCCGGTCTCAGGGTTTAATGACCCTTGTTGGGATATCCAAACTGTCTGGGGAGCACATGGTCCTGGGGGACGTGAGGCTGCCCTCAGAAGGTCCCAGTGGTCAAGCCCCGTGGGAAAGCCAGCCTTCCCGGATTGCAGTTGGAGCCCGTGTGCGTGGTCACAGGCCACGAGAGCTGGGCAGGGGTCCCCAGCCCACGCTGGGAGGTGGGAACGTCGGGTCAGCGTATCCCTGGGCTGGAGGATGCTGGCCGTCCTGGAATGACACCAGGCCAGACTCCAGGCCAGGCCAGGACCCGTGGGTTCAGAGCTACACGGGAAATGGAGTCACTGTCACCATGTCACAGGCCCAGGGGAGGAGAGTGGCCAGCGAGTGAGGTGGAGTCAGGGTCAGGCCCTTGTGCTCTCTCCTCCATGGCTCTGCGTAGAGCAAGAGGCCTGACCGGGGCCTACCGTTCAAGACCTGTCCTGCCGCCGTCGCTCCCCTGGGGACCTGGCAAGTCCTTCCCATGCCCTGGGCCTCAGTGTCCCCATCTGAATCAGGAAGGGGTTGGAGGGACAGTCCCCTCCCAGGACTGTGGCTCAGGGCAGAGGGGAGGGGTGTGTGGGTGTGTGACTTGGAGGCGTCGCTCTGACCCCCCACGCAGCCTCCCTACCGTTGTCGTCAAAGCCGTGAGTGATCTCATGCCCGATCACCATCCCAATGCCCCCGAAGTTCAAGGCCTGTGGCTGCTCCTTGCTGAAGAAAGGAGGCTGCAGGATCCCAGCGGGGAACACTGCACGGGGATGGGGTGGGGAACAGGCCCTGAGCGAGCGCACCTTCTGTGTGCCAGGTTGGGGTGGGCACCCCTGGGGCTCCTGCCATTGAACCCCGCAGCCCAGGAGGCAGGGCTCTGAACGGGCCCATGTTACAGAAAAGAAAGTCGAGGCCCCGGAGCCAAGAGGCCAGGGCCAGTGGGCAGCAGATCCCGCTCTTCCCACCATTCTCTGCTGCCTCGGGACAGGGGTGTGCGGCCCCATTCTCTAAGACCTCGCCCCACCGCTCACAAGGAGAGGAACGTCCCCGCAGGTGGGGTGATGGGTGGAGTTCCTACAGGTGGGGAGAGGTTCTCCCCTTCTGAGCACAGGCTGGAGGTGCCCCCTAGGAGGAAGGGGTGGAGGCTGCTGGAGGGGCTGGGGTCAGTCACCGAGGGGGCGAACGTACCTATCTGGTTTCGGTTTGGGGAGTAGAACGCATTAACCACCGCTGCCCCGATGATCCAGCTGTGATGAACAGGCCGGTCACCTGGAGCCCGTCTCTTGGAGCCCTCCCGACAGGCCCCCCTGCTGGCTGACCAAAGCCCACCCTTACTTAGGGTCACAAAGTGGCTGTGCCATGAGACCCTCGTTGCCCACAGCCAGGGCGAGGTCTGGGCAAACCAAAGATCCGAATCCTCCCTGAGCCCTGGGCCCCAAAGCAGAAGGCACAGCGGGGCTCTGAGTCGGACCGAGTGGCCTCTCCCAGCTGGCCCTGCGCTCAGCCCACTGGCTCCCACATGCCGTCCCCACTCACAGGTTCTGGTCCACTTTCTCCCGCAGCTTCTTGAGGCTCCGCTGGGCCCCAGCCTTGAGGTTCTGAAGACCATTTTCAAAGTACTTGTCCTCTGAGAAGTTCAGCTATGGGAGAGGGGCGGTCACCTCGGGTGTGCAGGCAAGGGAGGTCGAGAGTGGCTGGGGACTGGTCTTGGGACTGGCCAGGCAGTCCTGCGCAAGGCCAACAGGCTCTGGGTGCAGATGGGGGGTGGGGGGTGCTCTTGCTGGCTCTGGGCATTTATGCAACCTTAGTCTCCCCGTCTGTAACAGGTAACTCTGGAGCCGCCCACCCAGTGAGGGGCCAAGTTAGTGCCAGTGCCACCTGCCAGGGCACTGAAGGCTTACGGTTCACAGGGCTGGTTCAGGGGCAGATCGGGTTGGGGTGAGGAAGAGGGGAGGTTCTGGAGGGCCCCTGGGCCGGGGATGGGGCGCACATTGGAGTACTCCTCGTCCAGGTGCTTATTTCTCTCCTCCAGGATGTAGTCTGGGTACCCAATCTGCTCCCGGATGTTCATGGCCTAGGGAGGACATTGGGGCCAGTCTGTGCCTGCCCCACCGTGGGAATCCTGGCTCTGCCCCTCGCTTCACTGCCCGCCTGGCCGGCAGCCAGGGGTCTGATGGGGCGAGCCCTGGGCGGAGTGGCTCAGCTTCCAATTGTCACACTGGCCCAGAGGGACTTCTGCTCCGAGGCCATGGCCACCCCCACCCATTCCCAGGGGTGCTGGGGGGTCTCGCAGACTTGGCTTCTGGTCCTGCCTCTGCCCACAGCCCCTTTCTGAGCAAGCCACACCCAGCCTCAGTGTCTTCATCTCTGAAGCGGGTATGATGATGGTCACCCTCCCGTCCCCACGCTGGGGCTGCCCTCTCCCTGCAGGAAGCCCTGACCTGGGGGCTCCATCCGCCCACCCACCTTCTCCTGGGCCTTCTTCTTGGACACCTCGTCCATCCAGCCCAGCTCATCCAGGGTCTCCACGAACACCGCCCGCACCTTGTCGATGAGCTCTCTGACCTGGGGGGAGTGCATGACCTTTGTCCTGCATGACCAGCTTTGGGGTCTCTGCAAGGGTCTGGTCCAAAGCCCCGTCCCTGCTGTGGCATTGGGGTTGGGGATGAGGAATGATCCCCACCAGAACAGGGGTCCTGGCTGCAGGTCTTTCTCCTGGGTGGGCCTGGGGCCTGCCAATCCCTGGACTCACAGCCTGTATGACCTGTCCCCTTTCCCAGACAGATCTGTAGGGTTGGGGGTGGGGCCTCTGGCCTCTCCATGTGAGGGGACTGGGCAAATGTGTGCTCCCAGAACCACCGAGCACACACGTGCGGCTGGGGGGCCCTCGGGGTTCCCACACCAGGAGCCAGGAGTCACCACGCGAGGTGTGGGGATGGGACCTGGGCCCCCACACACCGTGGGCCAGCGTCCCTGTGGGGAGGAAGCTCCTGGCCCTGGGCCATGGACCATGGACAGGGGTGCCGTAGCAGTCCAAGCGCAGAGCACCCACCGCGTCCTTGCTGTCTCCGGGGAAGGCCTCCCTGACGTAGAGGGAGCCCACAGCGCTCTCCATGTTGCTATTGACGTAGCTGACGCATTCCCGCCAGCGCACCTCCTCCACGGTCGTGCCGTACAGCACCTGTGGTGGCCGGTCAGCCATTCACTCACTCACTCATTGCTGCCTTTACCAACATCTGCTTCCCTGCCCTCGGCCTCAGGGTGCCCAGGAGCCAGTGCGGGACACGGGTGAACTCAGACTCCCCTCTGAGGGCTGGCGCTGGGTGTGGGCAGGACCAAGGGTGCAGTTTTCAGGGGAGGGCTCCCGACCCAGGCTCTGGGTTGCACCTTTACCCCAGGGCAGTGGTAGGGACCTACTCAGCCCTCGGTGCCTCCTTGTGCCCTGTTCTTGCCACCCTGGCCTGGCTGTCTGGCCGGATTCTGACCTCAAGGACTCCAGCCCCACCCCAAAGCACCGGCTGGTGTTGACTCTGGAGGTCCTGGGGGGCCATATCCAGCTCAGCTGCAAGCCACCAGCTCTCCGGGCCCCAGTTTTCCCATCACTAAAGTGGAGATGCTTTGTTAGTGTCTCCAACCTAACATGACAAGCTGGGGTCCCGACTTGCCCCGAACGGTTCTGCCATGTTTTCCTGATGCTGTGGAGGACCTCTGCCCATCCCATTTCTCTAGTGAAGAACCACAGAGTCCCCCTGACTCCCATGCCCCTCATTCCCCCATTTGTACCTCAACTCTCTGTTGTAGGCACCTCCATCTGCTGCTGATGCCCTGGTCCAACCTGTCACCCCACCTCGATGATGGCACCTGTCTCCACTCTGATTCCACGCCCCCTCTGATCATTGTCCCAGAACAGCCACCAACACCACCGGGCTTCCCAGTGGGTCCCCTGCTCTGCCCTGACTGCACCCCACCCCCAGAGCAGTCAGAATGACCACGCAAGCAGGACACCAGACTGTGGGTCCCACTCCTACAGCCTCAGCAGCTTTCAGGGCATGTGGAATCCATGCATCAGTCCCATGATTGCTGGCCCCCATCTCTCTCCCTGACCTCATCTCCTTCCTTTCTCTCATGTGGCCCTGGGGTGTCCCTGCCTTGAGAATCTGCCCCAGTCTTCTCATGTCTCAGGCATTCTCTCCTCATGGTCTCCAGTGTCACCTTCACAGAAAGGCTCTCTCTGTCCTGTCCCTTCCTCTGATGTCCTACTTGTTGCTTTTGAAAGAGCAGATCTCCAGTTTGTCGGCTGCCCCAAGAGGGCAGGTACCTCATTAGCCTCTTTCATGGCTCTGACCCCAGGGTGGACCTTGGTGTTTGGCCCACAGCAGGTGCTCAGTACCATAAACTGAGTGAATCAATGACAGGGCAGGGGCAGGAGCTGCCTCTGTGGGGTCTCACTCACCTTGCGGTAGTTTGTCCGTGCATCCTTGAATCGTTGGCTCAGGCTGCTAATGCGATCCAACACCAGGCGCCAGACTAGGTAGTTCTGTATGGTCCTGTGGGCAGGAGGCAGAGGGTGGGGTATAGAACAGGTGAGTGGTATATGCCTAGAGAGATTATTTGGCTTATGGGCCCTTGGTCAACAGGTTCTATGCCAAGCAGGGAGCTCACCGCAAGCAGGGTGGTGGAGAAAGCCTCTAGGACAACCCCAGATACAGCCTGTCTGCTCCTGGGTGCTTGAGATACCTCAAGGAGGGTTCATATCTCTCACTAAGGCTCTGTCGGCCACTAACATTTACCCACTCATGTCCCTCACTCCCAGAGTAAATGCCCTGGGGTCCTCTCCTGTGAGGAGAAGCTGCAGGGGCGGGGGGAAGGGGCAAGGATGCTTAAGCCTCTGGGGACCTTCTCTGGGTCCTCACCTGGCTGAGTAGACATCGATGATGTCTTCAAGGTTCTGGAGGTAGGGGATGCCGTAGACCACCACTTCTTCATCTGGCAGCAGTTTGATTTTGACAGAGGACAGCACAGATTGTATGAAGAGGGTCCAGTTAAACCCCTGGGGAAAGAGGGCATGGGGAGAGAGAGAGACAGAGAGGTAGACACAGCTCCTGGGCATCCAAGAAATCCAGCTCTAACCAAAGAATATTCAGAGAATAAGAGAGAAGGCACAGATGATCAGAATCAGGGGGAAGGGTGGGTGACATTAGCACAGAGCCTACAGACTGTGACAAGAGATTATGCCAATGTATTTAAAAACTTCAGTGTGGTAGAAAAATTCTTGAAAAAAACAAACAAACACAACTTAGCAAAATGACCAAAGAGTAGCAAATACAGTCTTGTATGTAATAAACTGATCTTTAATTTGAAATATTCCCACGTAGAAATTTCCAGACTCATCTGGCTATTCCAGTGGATGCTATCTGACATTTAAGGAAGGCATACTGCCAATCCTACTCAAATTTCCCAGAGAAGAGGAAGAGAAAACTCTTCTCAGTTGGATTTGGGAAGCCAAGAATAACTTAATACCAAAATAAGGATATTACAAAGAAAGAAGGTAACAGGCTAGTCTCATTTATGATCACGGATACAAAAATTCTAAGGAAAATATTAGCAATTAGGATTTATCCACACCTATATAAAATGGATAATACATCACAGTCAAATTTGATTTATTCAAGCAATTCAAGTTTGGTGTAACATTTGAAAATTGAATCCTATAATTCACCGTGACAAGTGATAAAGCAGGAAAATCACATCTTAATTTTGATGGATGCAGAAAGAAAGGCATTTAGTAAATTTCACCATCTGTGCATAATAAAAACTCTTAGCAGACTAGAAATAGAAGGTAAATTCAATAATCTGATGAAGGGACTCTGCATACAACAGCAGCAACAACAGAAACAAACATGTCCACAGCAAATGTAAAAACGGTGAAATGTTGCAGGCTTTTCTCTTAGGAAGGAAACAAGATGTCCACTATCATGACATTAGCACTGCGCTGAGTGTCCCTGCCAGTTCAGTAAGACAAGTAAGTGAAATAAAATCAGTAAGAGTTCGAAAGGGAAGAAATAAAACTTACTGTTCACAAAGGACATGATTTCATGTGCATAAACTCTGAAAGGACCTACAGGTAAAGTATCAGAACTAGTAAGTGCACTGAGTAAAATTGCTGTGTATGAGGTCAGAATCTCTGTATGCTAGCAACAAAAAATACAAAGATATGTTACAAAATGAGGCCCTTCATAACAGTATAAAAAAACCAAATGGCTAATAATAAATCTGATGAAAGATATGTAAGGCATCTTAAGAGGACATTTCATACACTGCTGTTGGGGACAGCAACTCTGTACTCAGGGGAAAAGTTTTGGAGTTATCTGCCAAAGTTGAACATATGTGTGTTCTGTGACCTGGCCATCTCATTCCTAGGTAGATACCCAACAGAAGTGCATGCATGTGCACCCCAAAAGACATGCACTAGAATGAACATGACCACCTTATTCAGAAGAGTCCAGAATGTGATCTGACCCAGAAGTCTAACAAGAGTACAGCAGGGATGTAATGGTTGTGTGTTCTCAGAATGGATCATACAGCAGTCAGGATGAGTGAAAACTTGCCTGATGCCCAGTGAGATGGGGGGTATAATGACGGCGAGATGTAGTCTCACCTACAAAACGTAGGACGAGAGAAGCCCCGTGCAAGTGAGTCAACTTGTCTGGTTCTGATCGAATCTTGTGGTGGGAGAAGTCGGGGTGGTGGCTGTTTCAGGGGAGGGCAGGGGAAGGGCCATGAGGAGAGGTGTCCGTAGTGGTTCTGATCTGAGTAAGGGCTGTGTACACATGCTCACGTGGAGACAAGTCTACGCATTATAAAAGCGTCATGCACCAAATGTCCCAAAGCCTGGCTTCCAGAATGTTCCCCGGGGGCTGCTCCAGCGCCATCTCCATGGCATGGCGCCTGCACATCGGAGTTCTCTTTGTTCACTTCCCACACTTGGCACATTTGCAAATCCTGCTGGCTCTACCGTCCAAATAGATCCAGAGGCCACCCTCTCGCCACGTCTGCTGACACTTGTCCCCGCCTGTCACATGTCCTGCCTGGGCCATGCTGCAGGCTGGTCCTCAGTGTGAATCAAGTCTGTGCCCCAAGCCCCTCTCACACAGCATCAAGGCCAGTGCCCTGGAGGTCTGGCCCAGTCCACCCCATCACCTCCCGGGCCTTATCTGCCCTCCAGCGGCCTTGCGGCTCCTGCCTCAGGACCTGGGCCTTTGCTGCCCCCGTTTGGGCTGCGTGTCCCAGACGGCCCCTCCTCCACGACTTCTCTCGCACATCAGCTGCATGGTGTGGCCACTCCTGGCTGCCGCTGTCCCACCCCCTCCCTGCTTTCTGACACACCCTGCAGGTCCCGCTCTTTCTCGCTCCCGGCCTGCATGGTTCACAGATGCGGCCAGTGCCAGAATAGGGCCTGCCCCCCAAAGTGCCCGCTGGGGGGTGGGCCAGCTGTTGGGCTGGGTTGAGGGGGGTGGCCGCAGCAGGCCACCACTGGGAGCCAGTGCCAAGGAAAAGAGCAGGATCCAGGGACCATGGAGCCTTCTGGAACACCAGGTGCTATGAGCCTTGGGCAGAAGTCTCCCCGAATTTTCTGGTTCTGTTCTATGGCTCCAGACACTTGCATTTTCTGGTCAGGAGTTAGGAGCTTTGGTTTCTATCCCTACCGCCTGCCCTCTCCTCCCTCTGACTCTGGCTCCATCCCTGCTCAGGCCCTCTGCCCTCTGACTTTGGCTCTGTCCTCGCCCACCCTCTCTGCCTTTTGACTTGGGCCTTGGCTGTAAGGTTGGCGGTGGCTAGAACTGCACTTCTGCCCCTCCTACGGGGAGGCCGCTGGACAGGCTGGCTGCTCAGGGTGGTCAGCCGGCGGAGTTTGGGGTTGGGTGGGGTGCTCCCCTCTCTCTGGCTCTTCCCCTGCCCCCAGCCCCTGAGCATAAGTCCTGGCCAGCAGGGAGGGAGGGCCTGAGGGTGCGGCGGTGTGGGGCAGCCTTCAGTCTGGGGTGGGCATATCCGTGGGGCAGACTTGGGGACAGAGTGCCCTGCGTGGGGGTCTCCCTGGCTCTGGTTAATCAGCAACTCCTCTAGGCTTGTTTCCTGCTCAGAAAAGTGGGTTCATTGCTGCAGCCCCCTCATAGATGGGGGGCCCTGTGGCCCTGGACAGCCCAGTCGGCACCTGCTGTTCCAGGTGAGAACATCCCTGGTGGGCGTGCGTGGGCATATATTTCCGAGGCTTAGCTGACCGAGGCGGGGACTCACCTTCAGGCCAAACTTGTTCTGGAGGTCCTCCAGGCTCATCCTATGGTACAGGGTGGTGACATCGTGCCTCTCCTCCTGGGGGGCCGTGGCCTGCACCGGGGGCCAGGTGGTCACGCTGGGACCGTGGGGGGCAGCCGGGGCCCATCCCCTGCCCCCCTTCGCCCCCGCCCCCGCCAGGCCACGGCCTCACGTTTGCCAGCTGCGTCTCCAGCTCCAGCACCTGCACCATGTCCTCCCGCACCAGGTAGCTGTTCTCCGGGAGGTTCATGTCTGCCCGCAGCATGGTGGCCACCGACATCATGAACTGCAGGTAGGCTTCCCGCACCTGGGCCAAAGGACGCAGAGTGGAGTCTGGCGGCCTCGGCCACCTTGGCTCCCATGGAGCTCTCTGTGGGGTGGGGGTGGGCGTATGACACGAAGCAGGCCCCCGGGAGGCTCGTGGGGCCAAGCTCAGCCAGCAGGCGGTGGCAGGGCCCCTGAGCACTGGGATGGGGCACTCCAGCCTGTCCACGCCCTCCAGGCCAGGGCCAGGGCCAGGGCCTCAGCTGCCCCTCACACTGCGGGACAAGCCTGCATGGGAGGTGCGAGCTGCAGGCGGGGTGGACCTGCGTCCTCACACCTGCGCACTCGGCTCCACGCTGAGGCCACGCCCAGCCAGCTCAGAGCTGCTCTCCCCGCTCCACCCCTTTCAGGCGCGCGACCCCAGGCCCCTGGGCTCCCACAGGACCAGAGACCCATTCTGTCCGTCTGATGGCAGCCTGTAAAGTGCTGGGCACACAGCAGATGCTTAATAAAGGTCCAGGGCCGGCCCTGGGCTGTCGGCTAGGCTGCCTTCTCCAGGCTTGCCTCAGCCCGAGGGTCAGGAAGTGGGTCTTGAGCATGGACGCCCCTCCTGGACTTTCTCCGTGCCCCATCCTGGAGGGGCGTCCCTCATAGCGGGTAGGGGCCACTGGGGCACCTCCTCCGGCCTGAGGCTCGGCCGTCGCTGCCAGCTCTGGTTCACACTGCTGGGCATGACCCCGTCCAGATGCTGTGTCTCTCTGCTGCCCAGTCTGGTTCTCTCAACTCCACTGCCCCACTCCCGGGCTCTTCCATCAGCCACGCCGGCTTTTCTCCTGGCTGGACCCATCACAGCCTAGCGCATAGCCCGCCTCCACCAGCGAGCCCACCATACTGCTTCCCCGCCGTGGGTCATTTCACAGCTTCTACCTGTCACAGACCGCTCCCTGGCTCTACCTTCTACCCTGCTCGCCTGGGTTTGGCTCCTAGTCTCCCTCCTCCCTTGATGCAGGAGCAGAATGGTTAAGGGAGCAGGCCTGGGCTCCGGTGGCCTGGGTTCAGATCCCAGCCGGCTCTACGCAGCAGACTAGCAGTGTGGACCGCAGCCCTGTGCTCCCGGACAGGCAGGCGGGGTGTGACCCTCGGGGCTATGGGCTGAGCTGAGCTTGTCCCCATATAGGCGCAGGGTGTTTGGGGACTGTCCCTTTGATGAGGCCGAAGGCCACGCTTAGCTTGTCCACAGGCCTCAGAGCCCCCTGCAGGCGCTCACAGAGGCTAGCTGTGGGCAGCGAGGGTCAACGGGTCACAAGGGGAAGCTGGATCACAGGTGGGCCCCGAAGTGACGGGTGGGCGGGCAGGGCAGAGGGGCAGGCAGGAAGTGCCAGGGGGAGGGGCCTGGGGGCCAGCTTGACTCACCTTCTGGTTGCTGCCCTCGTTGAAATAGTACTCTCGGGATGGCATGCCCAAGGTGGGCTGGTCTATCTGGAGACACAGAGGGTGTGAACCTGGGCAGGGAGCCGGGGATCCCCACAGCCTGGCTGACGAGGACAGCAGCTCTCTCCACTTCCCGTGAACTGTGCCCCGTGGAAACACGAGCTCCACCAGGACGGGCACCCGCTGGTGTGTGTGCAGGCATTGGTGTCCCAGCCCAGCTCTGCGAGTGATGGGCGGAGGGCCGCAGGGGCTGGACTGCAGGGCGGGCCGAGAGGTGGCCTCACGGCACCCTCGCCCTCCCAGAGTGGTGTGGCCTGGCTGTGGCCAGTGGTGGCTCTCTGAGGTCAGCCTTCCTGTCCTGGTGCCAGAGGCCCGGACAGGTGGCCCCGAGGACCGGCTCGGCACACGGGCCGGCTCCCCTGACCGGGACCTGGTTCCGCAGGCGGCCAGTGCCCCCGAGCAGGACGTGGACAGGAGCAGGGCTCTGGGGACACCCCCGGCGTTCCCCCGCTCCCCAGCCCCGGCCCCGGCCAGCTCCCCACTGCCCTGCAGGCGCCCCCAGCCAGGCAAGAGGGGCCCGGCCTACCCCGGCCCCCCGGCACGGCTCGTACGTAGATGATGTGGCGGCTGGAGTTCTGGTCGTCGTTCCAGATGAAGAGGTCGATGAGGACGCGCCTGTTGAACTGCGTGTTCATCACAGCCAGCTGCTGTTCCAGCTCCCACCTGGGGCCTGCGGAGTCAGCGCCTCAGGCTGGGGCCAGGCTGCGCTCCTGGGGGTCCCAGGCCAGGCCCTCGTCGGACACTGGGTCCCAGCCTGCTAGACCCCTGCCCCGCTCATGGTGGCAAGCACACTTGTGGGTGCCCGGGGGCTGAGGGACACAAGGGACCCACTTCCCGAAAACGTGCCCAGGGAACAGCAGGGCCCGCGTGTGGGGCCTGCCATCCGCCTGTGCCCCCTGAGCCCGGGGTGCGGCGGGGGGAGGTGAGGACTCCCTAGGGCTCTGGAAGGGGGCCCACCAGCAGCTGGTACACACTTGCCAGCAGGAGCCTGGAGGGCTCAGCTGCAGGAGCCCCAGGCGGTGTCGGCCTGTCTGCTGGGTGAGGCCGCCGCCAGGCCCTGGCCTTACCTACGCTCTCGTTCCACTTCTCCATGGTCACCGGCCAGCCTCCCATCACCTCCAGGATGTCCAGCAGGGGCTGCGAGTCTCGTTTCTCTATCACACCTGAGAGGAGAGCAGGGGTCACTGGCCCAGACGCGCAGTGGGTGTGCACCTTCCCACAGACCCGCGGGGACCGCCCCTGTCACCCGGTGTGGCGCCGGATGCAGAGGAGCCTGACGGATGCAGCTGTGACAGGCGCCTGGGGCTCGGCGAAAGCAGATGGGCGGGCAGGCCAAGGGGCGTGGGAGGGGGACAGGCGATCGGGTGCTGGGTGAGCCAGCCTGAGGGAGGCCCTGCGGCCCAGGAGTGCTCCAGGAGGTGCCCCATGCGCGGCCCTGGGCGCTCTGGCCTGGGTGGGGGAGCTCCAGCATCACGGCCGACAGAACAACTTCCCCAGGGCAGCGATGGTTTGACAGGGACCTTGGGAGCTTCTGTCACAAATAAGGTGAAGGTGGGGACACAGGGGCCTATGGGCTGGCCAGGTGATGTCCCCTCACTCTGGCTTGCCTTTGGCAGCAGTCCTATAAGGCTGGCTTAGCCAGAGCCCCCTCAACCCAATTTCCCCTTCTAGTAATCTTCTGTCCACCGACCCCATCCTGCCCCTGGGCTAGAAATCCCCCCCCGCTCTTTCCCCTGTGGAAAATCCCACTGCAGTGGGCCCTGCACCCGTCAGAACGCCCTGAATAAAGTCTGCCTCACCGTCCTTCACAAGTGTCGTGCTAATTCTTTGACAGTGTGCGTGTGCATGCATGCACATGCACACACATGTCCATCACACACACACGTCCATGCACACGCACATCCACATGCGTGCACACATGTCCACGTGCACACATTCACACACAACACATATGCACATACACACATATCCACGTGCCTGCACACACACACACGTCCATGTGCATGCTCGTGCACCTTCCCTGGGGCTTCTAGGTGGGCCCCTCACCATTTTCCTCCTGCCTGGACAGGGTGGCCCCAGGCTGGGGTCAGGATATAGATAGGGTCACAGGCAGCTGGTAGCAAGGCCATGTCCCCAGGGGAGCCTTGACCCAGTGGTCTGGTGAGGGCACAGCCCCTCTGGCATGAGTCCATGCTGTGCTGCAGGGGCTGTGGGTCCCAGAGCCTCCCGCCAGCCCTCTGCCACTCACTCTCGTTCATGCAGGAGCGGTACAGCATCTTGGCCTTCTGCACAGCTGGCCTGTCCTTGGTGGTGGAATTCTCCAGCACCCCTGTGGGCAGAGGAGGAAGCTAGACAGAGGCCTGAGGCGGCTGTGGGGAGAGCCAGGTCAAAGGTCCCAGTGCCCCGACCCCATTCAGTGAGAGGTGGTCCCTCTGCCCCTGCCGGGCCTTTATTCCAGGGGAGTTCTCCTCCCCTGTGCCCTGCCCTGTGACCACAGAGGGCCCAGCAACCCGTCCCGCTGGCCCCATGGCCACCCTAGAGTGGGGCAGACGCAGAGCCTCACCCCAGCTCCACTCCCAAGGTCGCAGCTGCTCTCACCTTTGAGGATGACCTCCAGCTCATCTCGAAGGATGTCAAAGACGCTGTATCGGGAGTTGGTCTCGGGGATCACGTGGCGCCGCAGCCAGCCTCCGCAAGCGTACTGGTAGAAGTCGTCACAGGGTTCCCTGGATGGGTCCATGTTCTGGAGGATCCTGGCGGCTGCTCATGGAGACGGGTGGAGAGGGAGAGGGGCACCCAGTTATGGGCAGCCGAGGGACAGTTGGATATCCGATCATGGCTGTGTGCCCTTGGGGAGTGTCAGTCACCCTCCCCGAGGCTCGGCGTGGTTGGATTCAAGCTCTACAGCTATGACTTATTAGCCACATGACCTGAAACCACGTGACCTTTCTGCCCTTCATGTGCAAACCTGGGATGCCTGCAGTCCGGGCTCCCAGGAGGTGCTCTGCTGGGGGCCCTGCCCCTGGAGCCCCCTTACTCGCCAGTGTGTCTGTGGGGGAGAGGGGGCTCTTACCCACCACTTGGGGTTTGTCTGCTGTTAGAGGAGAGGGCTTGGCCCCTAGCACCCCGAGTGTGCAGCATCAGTGGGGTCCGGGGTTCCCTGCTGAAGGCTCTCAGCTGAGACAGCCAGGCTGGATTCCCCCCTGTGGCCCCCCCACCCTGGGACCCTCCCTCGCCTTCTGTCCCACTTGGCTGGGGCCTGGCAGGAAGCACCAGCTCGAATGCCTGTCCATGCCCCCAATGTGGGCAGAAAAATCTCATTTCTGAGTTTTCACCGGCATTTCTTCAGGCCATTTTCATTCTTTTCAGTCTGCAAATGGCAGCATATGGACCCCAATTTTAAGACAAATTCGTGGGAGGAAACTTGTACGTTCATGTGACCTTTCTTTCTGTAACTGCAGGAAAACCCAGGCCCAGCACTACCTTCCTCCCCATCACCGGGGCCTCGGCGGGGGCAGGGCGGCTTCCTGGGGGGCGCGGGGATGGGAAGCGGGAGTGCACCTATTTTCCTTGCCCACCACAGAAGTCCCACCTGCAGGCGGGGCCAGGCTCTGCTTGCCAGCCCCCGTGCCACATCTTGAGGTGGCTCCCGTTGGCCTCAAGGGGCCCTGTGGCAGCCTCACGGGAGCCCCCTCGCCCCGGGCAGGGCTGTCGAAGGTGCGGGGAAGGGGGCTTACCTGCTATTACACAGCCCGGACTGGTGCAGATATCGCCCATCTCCTTGGGCCGTTGGATGGCTGTGGGCAAGACGCGGTGTGAGCAAGTGGGGAGGTGGAGCGGGACGGGGTGTAGGGAGCATCAGTCTGCTGGGGCGGGCGGGACCAGGCTTCAAACCACCCCCAGCCCCCAGGGATAGTCCAACCTGGGGCGCTGAGTCTTCCCTAGGTGGCCCGGGACTGGGGCCTTGAGTGAGGGTGAGCCTCATGCTGGCTTGAGCCCTGCTGTGACCTGGGAGCCTCTTTATACCCTCTGCCTCCACTGACCCCCATAGCTGCCCTGGGTCCCCAGGACAGCAGCTGGCCATTCTGCCCTCCTGCCTGTATGCCAGCCAGTTCTCGCCCATCACCTCCTCCAGGCAGCCTGCCTGTGTTGTTCATCTCTGCACACTATGCCCCCCCCCAACCCTCTATCTGGCACTAGCTGGTTGTATAAAGGTGTGCCTGCCTGGTCTTGGGGATGGCGCCCCAAGCCTGGGGGGTAGTGTAACTCATGCTGGCTTCCTGGAGCCCAGGGAACATCCTGTGTCTAGCAAGTGCTCGTTGCTGTATCCCTGCCCTGTCCTGTCTTTCTATGGGACTCTGGGGGCCCCGGGGCAGGGCCCCACTCCCCAGCTGCACACCCTAGGCTGCCATGAGTTGCCCAGCCCACAGGAGGCCCAGTTTACAGCCCACCTGCTCGGGCCGTGTTTTGATAGGGAAGGCAAAGCTACCTCGGGGTTTTCGTTTTACAATGGTCTTCTCTTCCTTTGAGAAGCAAAGCCGGCTAGGAAAGAGTGTCAGCTGCTTCCCTGGGGAGAAACACAGCACTCAGCTCTCTGCCTCCAGCCCCTCCTGGGACACCTTGGGGCTTGCTTGGGGACAGCCCTGGCATTTTCCTGCAGTGCTGGGGTCCAGGGTGCTCTGGGGCCTGCCTGCCTCCCTGTAGCCGGGCCTGGTCACCAGGGTCACCCAGCAGAACTTATCTCTGAGTGGGAGGGGGAAGGGGCCCCACGGGCTTGCCCACCCCATTGCTCTCCAGACCCAACCCACCCAGCCCCACCCCTATCTGCCAGGGCCCAGAGGGTTCCTGAGGCGGGACCTCTTTCTCCTCTGACTTCCTCTTCTAGCTTGGGGTCATGGGCTACACCATGCAAGGTGGCAGTTCCTGGGGTCCTACCAAGGCAGGAACAACAGGTTCATTTACCAGGAAAGGATGTTACTTTCACTTTCTGACCCACTGGCCACCTTCCCTCCATCCCTCCTCTGCATAGGATGGGGGCATTGTCTGGTCAGCTTCGGGATCTTCCGGGTGGTTGTCAATTCTACCCGGAGTGGGGGTGGGGAAGGGGGAGGTGGAGGGACAGGGGAGAGGCAGGTCGAGGGAGAGGGCATGCCAGGCCTAGCTACCTACAGACCTGGCTTGTGGCTGATTTTCCCCACTAGGGAGGCACATGGACACCTGGCGGGAAGGAGGAAACAGGGCCTTGTGCAGGTCAGAGACTGCAGAGGGTGCAGGGAGCTCCCCAAACTTTGGGAGTTGGAAGGAATGCTTATGAAACACGGGGTCTGGGGTGGGTGGGCAGAGGCATTTCTCCCCCACTTGTTGCTGCTGCCCTCCCCATCCACCCTTTGTTCATCCATCCGTCCAACGTTTGTTGGTTTATTACAAGCCAGCCCCAGTGCCAGGCCCTGAATATTCAGATATGAGTACGACCCTGGCCCTGCCTCAGGGAGCCCCAGCCCGGTGGACACAGGAGAACAGTGCTGATCGCAACCAGAAATGATGTGGTCCGTGGGTGCCAGGGCATGGCTGTCCCACGGGTATTTGTCAGGCTCATTAACCCAGAGCCCTGGGACAAGAACTAGCCCTTGGACCCCAAAGGGCTGCCCCCTCAGGGACAGTGACGAGGAGGAGAAAGGATTTTTGCTTCTGATCAGGACGAAGAAAGTTGGAGGCAACCGTGGCTCCCTCCCAGTGAGGAGGAGAACAAGCTGCAAATGCAAGAACATGGGGGTTTGCTGAGATCTGTTAGAGAGCTGTGGGCAGGAAACCTACAGAGCCAGATTCCAGACAGGGAGGTGCCCTCCCCAGAGAGAGGGGCCTGCGGCAGCCTTCCCCTGGGCGCCAGGGCTCGAAGCTGGAGGAGCCTGTGAGCTGGCATGCCAGGGATGGGGTTCCACATGGCACACCCACAATCAGGTCCTCCCCTCGCCCCCGAGGGGACGGGCAGGGCAGGACAGCCGAGAGAAATCCCCCCACAAGAAGAAGTAGACAAATGTGACCCATCATCAGAAAAACCCAAGATAGTCCAAAGACGTGGACTCAGGTGAACAGATGTCAGTCAGCAGCCAAAATCTTTAGTGGTTATGATAATTCAGTTAAAGGGTCTGGTACAGAAGATGGGAAGCGGATGTAGGTATGTGGTGAATGTCACCAGAGAAATGGAAATGGTAAGAAAGAACTGAAGTGAAGGATTGGTTTTATAGGCTTCACAACACATTGAACCTGCACAAGAAAGAACCGATGTCAACATGGGTGATCCAGACCATGACACGAAGGAAAAAGACAAAAC